ATTGATGTTACATTTTATTTTTTTAAAGCACCATAGCATAATAAAGTACTGAGATAAGGGGGTGTTTATTCACTGGATCACCAAACGATGAAAAACCAGTGAAGGAACAAGTGTTCCTTTACTGGTTTTTTTTCTAAGTTAATGAAAATAAAAAATAAGCTTTAATTTTCTTGTACTTTTAGTGATGTTCCACATCAAAAGTACGTTAAAAATACGAAAAAAAACTTCAAACCAGTGAGGGAATAGGCATGTTCCTTTACTGGGAATAGATTTCCCAGTGAATGAACAGTATGTGTTAATATGTTGACAAATTATGTGTATGTGTTAGTATGTGTTAGTATGTGTTAATATGTCAATTCATGATTACAAAAAAAAGTTTACATTTTCTAAGTATTTATATGTTATAATTTCAAGAATAGGCTTGTTTTTAAATGTTTGTATGGCCTATAAATTCATAAAGAGCATTAAAAAATAACCAAAATTAAGTGTTCCTTTACTGGGTGTTCATTCACTGGTAAGAGCTGTTCCTTCACTTGGTCTTCTTACTACTTGTTATTTGAACCTCCAAAACTTTAAAACAATATTATGTAAGTTCTCTACAATTTTTTTACATAATTTGCAATTAGTAACAAATATGTTGACACTGTCATTTAACTAAAATTACGAATTTTGAAATTAATATGATTTTTTAAAAGGCAAGCGAAGCTTAAGTGTTCCTTCACTGGTTAGTTTACCCTAATAACTAATTCAATTTTATAAGTGTTTTGTTGAAAAGTTTTGCAATTCAAAACGTTACAATAAATTTATCAATGTAGATATACTTGTAGAATCTTATGACATTCTAAAAATCCTCAAATTTAGAGACTCTAGATATACATTTAGTTGTTATTCCATTTGTTGACAGGAAACATGTATGGATTGTAATAGCCAATCAAATACTCCTTTACGTTTTTTAATACCGTTTATCTTGCTATTTTCAGAGTTTAACGAAACTCTTCTAAGCTTATATACATTTATTAATGTTGATATAAAATCTTATGTAATTCTAAAAATCCTTACATTAATTTGTTATTCCTTTTGCTGACAGGAAGTATATATGTAAAAGATTGCAATATCCAACCAAATATTCCTGTTTATCTTATTGTTTCCGGAGTATTTGGAACGCTTCAACATTTCATTGCTGTCTGGACAAAGTACATTCCTAAAGATTCTCAAGGTGCCATGAGAGTCTACAGAGCGTATTGCAAAGTTATAGATTGCACACTTGAAATTTTCTTGATTATATGGTTTGTTCTAGGTAAGTTCAATGTCTTCATGCAAAAAGCTGTACTATTTAATTGACGCATTTTTCAGTTACTGTCTCATAAAAACAAAAAAGAAAACTTATATGGGAAGAAGTTACCTAAGTGCTGGTTCTGGACTTTGATAAAAGTGACACAGCTGATAAAGTCTTGTCTTGGGGAGTAGAGCCAATGGAACTACCCTCCCACGATGAATGGTTTTCGAGATAACCGCAAATAAAAAAGGGCAAATCCGAGTACAATGGCAAGACCATTATTAAACTCATAGGATTCATCTGCCATACAGACTCTGCTATAAGTGCTATGAATTGCAAGAATAGAAATTCGTTTGCCATAAAATATAGTACAATAGCAAATAATAATTAATAATAACAGCAGATTATGAAATGCAAATCAAAGTAAGATGGAATCATTAAATGTGATATCAAAATAAAATTGTTTTGAGCATAAGTATTTCCAACACCAGGTGCAAACAATGAACACCACTGTTTCGCATGCAGCGCAAATTTCGTTGTTCAGGTAAAGAATATCTGTTTCACTGAACAAAAAATAGGGTTTTTCATCAAAGTTGGGAGAGGATAGTTCATATATACCAGGTTATGCATTCCCCTTCTAGTTTTGACGTTGGGATCTACAAAACGTTTGACATTTGATCCCATAAAATGACATACGGCATCTGTATGACACAATGCATGCTGATCTCCATACTTGCATTCAAAATTCTGGTGGTTACACCGGTTATTAATGAACCAGTATTTCTCATTTGAAATGGTTGTTCTCTTAATTGCATTAACCAGTGATCTGGAAACTTTAACCAATTAAATAGTTCACTCAGACAAACTCATTGTCGAAATTTAATTACTCTACAATAATTTTTTCTTGGTATTGGGTTCATCATTGCTCACCAATCCTAAAAACTACTTGGGCAGTTTCATTCTGATTACTTAGCTCACTGCTGTCCAGCCTGTTATGGGACCGTTTACCGATGAAGTAGCAAACATATAAAGATATTGGAGTGGATTGATACTCTTTCTGTAAAAACTTTTTAATCTAAAGAGACTAGCGTTACTTATTTAATCTATTGGTGGAATAATTATGAATGATTTTGCTTTCATAATTTCAGGATGCATTTGGGTGTATGGAGTTCCTGCAGAAATTGATTTTCACGATACATATAAAGATGAGTACTGCAACAAGACAGTTTATTATTTTGCATTTTGGATACTAAATTTATCATTTATTCTTTTGCTTTTACTTGTTGTGATCACATTATTTGTTATCTTGTGCGTTGTTATTTTTCCTAAAGATGAAATGAAATAAATCAGTCTATTTTGTAATATTTAAATTTATTCTGAACATGTAAGGAGTTCTAAATTAAACTGACAGTTTTCAAAAACTGTAGAAGATTGAAAAATTCTTATAGCTAATTCACTTGGAAAAGCATAAAATTTTTCTCCCGCAGTTAATAACTATAGAAAAAGTAGGGGACCCACAATAGGGTTCTATTGAAAAATAGCAGGAAATTACTTTAAAAGCCTGTTAAAGAAGGCATAACCAAATGTGACCGGTAGAGTTGAAACAAGTTGTTAGTTCCGAGGGTCCTGGGTTCAGACCTCGGACAGTAATATTTAAAGATTATATTTAATAAAACAATATTTGTTTTTATTTTACAATTCTGTAACGCAAATAAAAAATTTCTTAACTTAAAATTATTATTTTTTCCGTTTCTAAGTTGTATAATAATTTGTTCGCGGGGCTCCGAAATTGCTTATAATAATTTCCTTTAGTAAGGTAGTATAGTATATTATAATGTAATTAGTTTATAATTGCTTCCTTTGGTATGGTAGTATAGTATGTTATAATATAATACTTGACCGAGTTTGAATATTTCAGGTTATTAAGGGGAGATATGGGGCCATACACATACTATATATAAGCAACATTTTCTTAATTTAAACTCAATTATACGCACATAGCATAGACATACTTAAATATTATGCCCCACTGTGGGCTACCTAATTTGTTTATAATTATTTCCTTTGGTATGGTAGTATGGTATGTTATAATATAATAGGTTACATACGAATATAATAGGTTAATATGAAGGGGAGATATGGGGATATATATATATATATATATATATGTAAAGAGAGAGAGATGTGTGTATGTATTTAAACGTAGAACACTCACTAAATATTAAAAAACATCGATGTGANTATATATATATATATGCAGTAAATAAGCACTATTTTCTTCACTTTAACTCTTTTATTATAGTACGCACTTAGAAAAGTAAAAAATAATAATTTTAATATAAAGAATATTTTATTTACGTTACAGCATTGTAAAATAATTAAGAAAATTATTTTTATTAGAAGAGATTTTTAAATACTGACCATGCCTGTGTTTCAAATCCCAGATCCTCGACACTAGCAATTTGTTGCTCCCTGTCATTTAACAATACCGGTCACACTGGGCTATCAGATTTATAAACAAGCTTTTTAGTCAAATTTTAAATTTTTCGGTTTTTCAATGGAACCATATTGAACCACGCTCCTTAATTCGTAACTGTGCCATATTGTGGTCCCCCTAATTTGTCTATAATAATTTCCCTATCTATGATAATATATTATCTTATAATCTAATATCTGACCGCGCTTGTAAACAACAGGTTAATATTAAGGTAAGCTAAGGGGCCATAAATATCTATACAGTATTTGAGAAACAACTTCTCCATTTTAACGCTATTATACGCATTTAGAAATATATACATATGTACTTAAGCATGTGAGCCCCTTATATTCTATAATTATTTCTTTTGGTGCGGTAATGTAGTGTTTTATAATACTATACTACCACACCAAATATATCTGAGCGAGTTTGAATTTTATAGATTAAAATTAAGGGAAGATATAAGGATATATATACAGTATATAAACTACCATTTCGTGATTTAAACTCAGTTATACGCACATAGAAATGTATAAATACATACTTAAATATTGTGCTCCATTGTAGGCCCCATAATTTTTTAAATTTCCTTTGTTATGGTAGTATAATGCGTAATAATTTAATACCTGAATACAAGAAATATACCAGTATACAATACCAGTATACAAGAAACAGTTTTTCATTTTAACTCACTTATTACATTACACACTCAAAAAAAGGGAAAAAATAATTTTAAGTAAAGGAATCTTTCATTTACGTTACAGAAATCTAAAATAAATAAATAAAGCTTAACTTTATTAAATGCAATTTTAAAATTTACCATGTCTGGATTTTGAACCTCAGACCCTCGGGACTAGCAGTTTGTCTCTTGATATCACTGAACTCTACTCTACCAATCACTCTTGCCTGACCGACTTATAACAAGCTTTTTAACTAATTTCCCATGATTTTGCAATTGAACCATATTGGGCTCCTAATTTGAAAACGTGCCACATTGTGGGTCTTTTAATTTGTCTACAAAAATTTTCATTAGTATGATTATACATAATCTTATAATCTAATATCTGACCGAGTTTGAAAATAGAGCTCTTAGTGCGGATCAAGGATATATATTAAGAAATAGTAATCGAATTTTCTTTTAAAAAGTTTTATATTGTCTTTTTTAAGGATTTCTGAAATTTTGATCCGGTTTCTTTTTACAGCAAATACTTTATATTGAAATAATTTTCTTTAAAATTATTTTAAGGGTTAATTTTGAATGTGCATGTACGATTTGAAGGGAAAACACACGATTGAAGTAATGTTTCAGTAATTTTTATTAATGTACTCTGGATGTTATGCCATACTAAAACTGCAATGGCTTTGACACACAATCAAAAAGCTTTTGCGTTTATTTTTTTAAATATAAACTCCATTGAGGACGATAACAATATTTTTATGTGTAAAACAATTGATGTTTAATTACAATGCATTGTAATAAAATTTAAAATCCAGTCAATACACAAGTACCGAACAAAATAATGTGAGCACTTCTTTACTAACTCTCTGTAAACAATCTTTCCGTTAGGCACACAACTATTTTGAGAGATTTTAGGAGGCAAAACTGTTGTCACAATTTGAAAGATCATGCTTGAAACTTTTAGAAATGAATTCATTTTCACTCGTGCAACATCCGGATCGGCCGAAAAAAGAAGAGGAAGTAAATAACTTCCTTCTAATTTAACTACCAATAATTTTGAAATCATGTGATAGGATTTAACTATTTAGATAAGAATACTCTTAGAATTATAGTGGTATTAAAAAAGGGAAGAAGCTTTTAACTGTCTTACGCTCATTTTGGTCGATGAAAAAATTGCATGGGTAAAAAAGACATCATTTCTGAAAGCTTCAAGCACAGAGACCGTGGAAGGGGGGGGGAGCAGAGGGAGCTTAAGCCCCCTTACATTTTATAAATACAGAGACACAGCCCCGTTTAAGATTACAGTTTTCTACTCAATATATGTGGAATTAAATTTACTATAAAAAATGTTACTTTTTTTGTTTGAATTATAAAAAAACAAAATATTTCAAGCGAGCTTTAACATTTACAAGGTGGAAACTTCTACCAAATTATCCCTTGCCCATTCCCCACCAGAGGAAATATACGTCCTTATGGCTGACCGATGTCGTAGCGAACAGATTAAAAAGAAAAAAAAACGCTGAAATAGAATAGAAAAAATACCATTAAATGAGAGATAAATAATTAACAAGTAAACAATTTCTTTATTTTAATATATATATATATATATATATATAATGTAAAATCTTAATTATCAGTATATACTATACAGCTTTATTGTTTTTATGGGACTGAAACCAGTTTGCACTTGTTTACGTTTGTGTAACAATTTGTTAAATTAGCGATATATAATGTAAATTCGACGATTGGTATATTAGACGATATATTATACAAATATAGAATATTTATTACATCAGGTATTATATTATTATATTGTAATAAATAGATCAAATTATTAGACGCACTGTAGTTTTTTAATAATTACATGCTTTGCACGAGTTTATTGTTGTTGATGACGAATACCTATTACGGCAGAGGGGTGCGATTGTTCTTGTTTTCCAGTGGCGCCATCTATGGCCAAGAATTCGACTTCTGCCACTCGCATACGTTTATAGGGCGGACCCATTCACAGATCCATTCATTCATCCACAGATCGTTATTTTTACCTGAATCAGAGAACGATCAATCTCTAATTCAGTGCCCCCAGAGGTACTGATTTATTATGAGAACATGGAGGACATTGCGCTCAAATTTAACGTGCATCAGTCACCATTTACTACATGGAGAGTCTTCAGCCGACGGGGTTTGAACCCACGAACTTATATGCAATACTTATATGCACGAGTTTATATACAATACTTTTATGTTTAAAAATACATATGAAGGGTTTTCATTCAGGAGATTTTTTATATACTTCCTATTTGAATTTAATTTTATCGTGTTGCATTAGAATGTCAACCAATTGTTACTCGAACGTGAGCAAGTGCAAACTGGTTTCAGATGCGTAAAAATAGTAAAGCTGTATAGTATCACCTGATAATTAAGATTTTACATATAATCTCATAGTGCGTCTAATAATATGGCGAGGAACTGTATATATATATATATATATATATATATTCACTAATCAAGCATGCTCTTTCAAATTGTGCCAACTGCTTTTCCAAGTAAAATCTTGTTTAAATAAAGGTTGTTTATATTGAGTTAGAATAGAAGAGACCAGCAAGAGCTTGTTTAAAATCTTCTTTGACTGCAATTATCATCATCATCAATGTTTTCTAACAGTGAGTTCTGTTCTTGTTCGGCTGAAGTAATACTGATCTGACTATCTGGTGTATTTGCACTTTCCATAATATCTTCAATAGCTGCAATATCTTCTGGTAATTGACCATTCACAAGCCTAAATGCTTCTAAAAACTCATTAAGATCAATGAAACCGTCTTTATTCATATCAATACTGTGAGCCAAATCTTGAATAGTCCCTGGGGGTATCGGTTTATTGAGTTGTTCTCCTAAGAAGGAACACGCGTCTGTAAATTCATCCATTGAGATTGAACCTATATAAAGGACACATTTCAAGTTGAATTACTACTATGGAATAAATAATAAAAGGACTTAAAAAATAAACCACCATTTTAAATTTCTCTGGACAGAGAACTTAAGAAGAACATGATCGTTTGTCACTGACTTATTTGTCAATAATTCCTTTTTATTATGAGATTTTAGTTATTATGAGATTACGTCTATGAGATTTACGTTTGCTACAGCTTGGAAGAATACTTTCTGAAACAACGGTAGTAGTAGTTGGAGGGTAAATCTAGAATTAAAAAAACACATTTTTTAACTCCAAATTGCATTAGAAAGTACCACCACAGGTGACCCTCTGGTGTGATCCTTTATAATGATGTTAAATCTGATATGACATAATACTGTGGATTTTTCCTCTCTGTTGAGGCTCTAGATAATTGTTATGCGTCAAGTATAGTTTGTCTAAAGTAAGAACTCTCCCCTAGCCATTCGTCTGGACTCGTGGCGGTAACTATGGTAACGAGGTATAACTATTTCAAGTACGTGGGGCCACTGTTTTGGACAGGTTTTGGCTCGGGTCAACGAGAGAAAGGTAATCTTTTCCCCCGGTCTATTTTGTTACCCCCAGAGTTCTACCCTCCCTGAGATGCGCGATTCTTGTTTCCATAGCAGAAAACGTCCTCAGTCTTTCTGGTGGGGGAGTTCTTACGGTAGACAAACTATAGGAAATCATTGGGAGTAGTGTAAGATGAGCAAGAACCAGCGCTAAGCTGTAATATTTATCAGGGGAGCAAAGCAAGTAAATATCTAGGAATGGTATGCTCCCAGATCACTCTTTGGTTCATTCCCCTTCTTTAGGAGCATCCGTGATGATGATAAATAATTGCACTTTACAGAACAGATAAATAATTGCACTTAAAAGAACCAAAAAAAGCCATAGATAGCTTACTTTCTTTGAAAAAAAAATAGATAAAAATAAAAGATTATTTTTAAATTATTTTTGAAATATTATAATTCATAATTGTAGTAAATCTGAGCTCTTAACATTTTACTTTTTACCAAAGATGCCAACTACTCCGGATTCGACAATAGATATTAAAAAATGATAGGGAACTACAAACTAAAATTAGAAGTTTTTGGTTAATTTTGATAATTTCTTACAAGGCTCAACACAGCATCACTGTACTCATACTCATATGTTGTAGCTATCTTAACATCAGCTCTAACTAATTCATCTGAGTAGGAATATATGATAAATCGCCGAAGCGCAATTGAATGGCGAAAGTTGGGGTTCAGTAACATTTACTGAGTGAAAATTAAAATAAAATAACGAGATTTAAACAAACAAATTTAAGAGAGAGAAGAGGTTTTTGTGGCAGATTGCCGTGCCTCCCCCCGAGCTATTACCCCCGAGCTTCGCAGGTGCACAGTAGCCGCATAGCCTCAGAGAAATAGGAAAAATACATGATAATAAATGCGCAAAAATATATACAAGTATTTGCAAAATTTGCGGGACAATACCCATCGGATAGAAAAAAGGCGGTTGCCGGGCTATATTTTATGTTGTCTTTGATGAGCTCAAAATCAAAGTTTTTAAAGTATGACGTATGACAGAAGAATGCATCTCTGCAGAAATTTGCACATATGTAGTTCAGCTATGTGTTCCTCTATTTTGTTTATTTTTAAATCTTTTCTTAGATCTTTCATTCTCATGTATCTGGCAGCAACACTGCAATAAAGTGGCGTATCACATAAGCCTTTGAATTATTTAGAAGTAGTGGTGAGTAAAAACCTTATAAATCTAATATACTAAACAAAGACTACCACTCGAAAACATTTATCCACTGTCAGGAGGAAGTTCACATCTCCGTGTTACTGCCGGTAGGAATGATAGAGTAAGCTGTCCAGAGCTCTTAGAAAACTTAAAAAACTGATAGCAAAATATCTAAAAGAACTTTTTTTTTTCAATGCCCACCTGGAGAATGACCTTTCGTCACGCAGGCATCTGAATAGCAGATTTGTTGGCCACTCTTTCAGGGACACCATATTAGGTGGGACAACGTTGCCCCCACAATACAAAGAAGGAAAGAGCATCTATGCCGAACCCAAAACCTTTCTGATGTAAGGCCAGTATCCTGACACAGGCCGGTCGGCTAAAAGATCATCCTGAAACTTACCTTTCCAATTATTTAAAAAAATTTCCTTTGGAGAATATTTGGGAGGGATTTCTGTTCTCAGAATATTAAGTTGGAAAGGTGAGTTTTCAAATATTCATTTAAACATTTTACTACCAGTTTTTTTTAGTTTTCTGAGGATTCTGGTTATATAAGAATTAATCAGCACGTTTAACCCTCATAGCTACCACACTGCCTGCTGACCACAAAGAAATCACACAATGCTGAATAATTCAGGATTTTAGTTTTAGATGTTTTTGAAAAATTCAATTAGACAATGAATATTCATATGTTTTTGGCTATTACCATCTCCGTCTTTGTCAATCATCTTGAATACTGCTTCTAATGCGTTTTTGTTTTTGTACAAAGCTTCAAGTAAAGTATGTCCATCCTAAAAATACAAATGTTTCCCCCATGAGTGTTTTCAACAAATGACAATTTCAACAAATTATACAGTATTAAATGAGTAATCTCAAGAAACTGAATTGATGATATAAAACTTTCATTTACATCAAAATAAATAAATAAATAAAATTAAATAAATTGACTACTGCGACTACTGCGAATTTTTTAGTTTTGCTTATCGCTTTTGCTAAATTTTTCGTTTTTTTTTTTATTTCGAATCACTTTTGTTTTCCAGATGCAAGTCTGATGAATTTTGAGCGCGTAAGCGTTTGAAGCACTTAGACTTTTACCACACTTTTATATCAAGTAAATTATGCTGTAATTTATTAAAGTGTAACAATTTGATGACTAGATTGATTTAGTTCTCATGAACTAAAAATAGAAAACTTTAGTTACAGATCTATCACAAAGCAACTGCAAAACTTCCACTTTAAAGATACAAAATCATTCTTATAAACTTCACATTTAGATATTAGAGATGAACAGAACGGAAAAGAGTGAAAACTGGCAAAAAAATCACGTCATTCTAGCTTGTTTGAAGGGAAAAAACTTTCAGTCACATTAATGTGACCATCTGTCCAGAATAACCAACTTTCGCAGAACGGACAATTAGGTTCTTGAATGTGTTCTGTTCACTAGAATGTTGAGCTTAACTGCACCAGGTTACGCGGTTGAGGATTCATGGCACGTACCATTCGACTTCAACGAGTGTTACGCATGATCATGAGTGTGTATTTCGATTGTTGAATGGTTATTTGTTTTGTATTGTATCAATACATGTACATATCAAATTTCACTAAAGTCTGTCCAGTAGTTCTAGAGATAATTGACCAAGTCTGCAAATTCTCTTTATTTCTTACTCCAGTATAGTTTTAAAAAAAAATTGAACAATTTCTTATATCAATTTAAAGAACATAATTTTGCGTTTCAAAATTCAAAAGTTCAGCGAAATCGGTCAAGTTGTTACTGATCGGCCGAATTGTTCCGAATTTTAAAACAGTCGCATTTTTTTGGCATCTATGGAATACTATGCAACTTTTGAGGATTTTGAAAAATACTTCCTTCAGTGGTATTAAAACTGAAAAATATTTATTAAGCTTTTATCAGAATTAAGAACATGACTGATTCTTTCTTCTTTATTTAAACAAAACTGGGTGCCTAGGCCGCTCAGCGGCCGAGCATGACTGTTTGCCTATTTGACCGTTTATATATTTGTTTAAATTACTAGTATGTCGTGGTGGACAAAACTTCCATTTCAAATGCTTTAAAATATTGATACATAACCTTTGTCATCACTAAGCAAAATATAGTTTTAATCTATCGAAATTTCGTAGTAGATGGAAAGCTTGATATATAGTTGAGATATCAATAAAAATAATAATTTTAGTTTTGTGACATTAATTAAGGAAAGAAGATTTTTATTTTCCATCACCTATTTTAATCAATGCAAACCTTGCATGAGTAAAAACGATAAAATTTCTAGAGCCTTTAATCCTGTTTTTTCAAATTTGGCTTACAGTTTCACATTTTAAAATTCTCCAAAAGAATTTGCAGCTAAAAAAGCTGTTTCTAAGAAGTTAGTTAAGCCTATTTTTCACTTTATGTTGCCCAACTCTTGTATGATTTTTGTTTTTTGTTCGAACTTTTTAATTTTTCCAGACTAGTGATGTGTAGAGTAGAAATAAAACTTTTTACTGAAGAAAATTAAAAAAAAATATTCAGAAAAAATTAAATTCCTTTAACGTATATTTACTTCAATAAGTCCTTCTGTATAAGTGTGATAGTCTTCCATTGTAGTAGTATATTCTACTTGTCCTGTTTCTTTGTCATACTTTGCCAGTTTGTGACAAAGTAATCTCCAAGGAAGTCCTAAGCCAATTGCACTTTCCATAGCATCACTCCAGTCAGCTAATGAAATGGTTGCTTTCGAAGAAAAATATTAAAAATGTTTTAGAATACACGAAAAAAATGCAAAATAATTCATCAAAAGAAACTTATTATAATAAAGATAATAAAACCAATAATAATAAAAAAATAATATAACAAGCATTTTAGTTTAAAGTAAATATAGGGGTTGCTCTTTTGAAACGTGTGTCAGAAATATTTACAGTTAAAACAAAGCATGGCAGAGTGATTAACCAATATCCATGCTGTATATAGCGCTACCATTAACCGATTAATCGGAGGAGAAATCAGAATATATAGCCAGTTTTCGAGAGAGAAGTAAACTATAAGTGAAGACGAAAAAGAACAAAAACTTTTCCTAAAGACATTTAATTTCGAGAAAAATATCTGCGACTACCAAGATTTTTTTTACAACAATAAGATATATGTAAAACTGCTTCTTTCCCGAAATATGATGAGAAATTCATGAATAGTTAATAGAAAAAAATACTCTCATTTCAGTGAAATGTTTTTTTCCGTCTCACTTTCAGCCCTGGAGCAATGAAAATGCTAAACATGGAAGCGAGCAGAACAGCGCAGTGAGTTTTTGTGGTTATTTTTTAAATAACCGTTGTTGAACAGCCGACCCGATTGAGGGTTTACGATTACTAATGCTCAACTCCGTGACCTTGTCATACTGAACCCAATTAACCTGGATCAAATATTCGGAGAAATTTGCCCTCATAGAGGACTTTTTTATGGAACTAACTCCCATTTGCGCTACAAGGAGAGGAAAACTAAGCAAATCTCCCATGGTTAGTCTGACAGCAAGGGGACTCTAATGCATGATTCGTATCCCATTGAGGATATTTCACGTCAGTACTGTGGTCCGTGCCAGCCGGTGCGAAATTCGTATCGACCAGCTATCGCTGGGATTCGAACTCGGTTCACCCTATTGGCAGGCGAACGCTCTATAATCTGAAAGCGTTTTGTGGTCATTTTTCGTCGAATGGAAGAATTTGGCCAAGCATCCATTCATCGTTTTTGCTGATATTGTTCAGGATGAAAAGAATGGGGAGCAATACTAGATTTTCCGAGACAATCCTAAACGAATCCATTGCTGCTTGCTGTTGATAAAAGACCAGCAAATTTCAATATTTTTCTAACATTTCAATTATTCGGAATTCAATGCTAAAAGCAGGAAAAGTTGGCAACTATGCGTAAGTATTACATAGATATTTCTTTTTTGAAATACTTACAAACCATAGCTTTATTCCGCTTATTGAATTCTCCCATTAAAGTAAATCTTTTTGATGATATGTGCTTCTTTAGTTCTCTCAGAGCTGATCTTTCCATTATTCCTTGCCTAAAAGAAAATAATTTATCATTAACTTTCTTATACATGGAGTACCCAGGATTAAAATACATCACCGGGTGAAAGAAATATTGGACTAACTTCTTTCTTAAAATAAGATGATTACATAACTCATTATTTCTCATTTACAAATTACTAAATAATGTAAAAAGTACATTTTTGAAAAGAAAGCGGCTGAACGTATATGTTTTTAACTAAGAAGCCTTAAACAATGGCTTAAATTCAGTAATGAATTTAGATCCAAACGTAAGCTAAGGCATTTAGCATTAATACCTGGAGTTGAATTGAGGATAATGCAGAGGATCTTGCTTTTCGCCTTTATCCTCTGTGCAGTGAGAGAGTTGAGGATGATGAGTTGAGTTCATGATAAGTAGATAGGTACTTTATTTACGTCACAATAGAGCTGCGCAATGGGCTATTGGCGACCGTCTGGGAAACATCCCTGAGGATGATCCGAAGACATGCCATCGCAATTTTGAGCCTCTGCAGAGGGGATGACTCTCCTGCTTTGGTAGCCCGACGACCTGAGCGTGAGTCAAGCACATTAAGGTAGAACAGTTTAAGAAGGACCGATATCAAGCACCCTCGGTCCCTACGCAGGCTAATCAAAGTGGTCACCCATCCACTTGCTGACCGCAAGCCAATGATGCTTGACTTCGGTGTTCTACTAGAAATCGTGTCTTTAAGATCAGTCCACTGCGGGACTTGAGTTGATGATGATGGTGAAGAGAAAATACAAGATGATCGTGGTGAAAAAACTTTCAACTAATTCGATGCAAAATTTTTTACAAGTGGTTCCAACACTTTTGGAGAGGTTGAGTTGATAATGAAAATGTGAAGATACAAAATGATAGTGAAGAAGGGGTTTAAACTGATTCGATGCAAAGTTTGCAGTTTTCCGAGAATTCAAAAGCAAAAGTTTGTGATTCCAAGACTTTTGAGAAACCAGACACCCGTAAGTGCACACTCTTTCCCCGAGGCTATCAGGGTGGTTTCGCTGTTCCAAATTTTAAAATTGGATGGATTGACGTATATGTAAGGTTTGTAGATTGGGAACCAGAATCATTTAGTTAAACTCAAAAAGAATATGAAGTTTTGAAAGAGATTTTCGTGTTAGTCAAACCTGAGGAGAGAAAACTCCGATTAAGGAGTGCAATGCTTGACGATAAAGATTGAACTTTTTGCACTCAAAGAGAAGATGGTTCACAGATTCGGGGGAATAACAATGATCACACAAAGGGGAGTCCACGAGTCTGATTTTGTTCCAAATTACATAATGTAGAATGTAAGGAACTAATTAGTAATGTGCAATATTTCTATCCATGGGTTACCATTGAATTTTTAATCCTTCTGCTGAATCCCTTAAAATTGGTTGCGATAGTTTTGAGACACCTTTTATGCATTTGGTGGGCGAAATCAAACTCTTTAAAATAAAATAGTTATAAGTTAAAAATTATCAAAAATATTTATAACATAAATTTTGCTACCAGTGCAAAAACAGGAAGAAATTTCCCGACAAAAGAGAGGTCATCAACTATGTACCACCTTTTTTATTTCAGGCCACATGAATCCCGTATGCCAACTTTTACGCATTTTTCGAAGGATTTTTTTTAAGTTGTAATAAATTAATAATTAAATTGAGATAAGCACGAGTATTATATATATATATATATATATATATATATATACATTANGCCCGAAAAAATTCTGCCACAGAGACTATATATATATATATATATATATATAATCAATACTCAGAAATAACACAGCATCTTCTTCTTTAGTTATGCTAGCCGTGCACCCTTTCCCATCCATCGTGAATTATTTAGCATTGTGTGAGTTCTTTGTGGTCAGCAGGCAGTGTGGTAGCTATGAGGGGGATTCAAGCACTTTGCTTGAATAAATAAAAATAATAAAAATAAAACAAAGCAGCTTACTTTTAAACTAAGCTCACCGGACCAAAAATTAGTCACCCTAGTGCGCAAGCATCGATGAATCGTTAGATTTCGTTAGATGACGCAGTGGTCAAGTGACGTGCTCAACTGCGTGTACATTGCTTCAACGTGATCAAAGGCAAATAGCTATCAGTGAGATATTTTTATTTGAAGCGGAAACTGCGGGTAAATATGGATAGATGTAAGGATGTGATGGCAAAAAGAGGCAGAAAGAGGCAAATTTGATTGGCTGTACTCATGGCCATACGGTGAATGAAGTTGCTGGATTTGTTGGTATTTCGATACGGACTGTTCAACGTGTCTACAAGCAGTGGTTACAAAAGACGACATCAGGATAGTGGTTGATAAAAGATCCTCCGTGAAAAGAACCGCAGACGAGTTTCACGACTTACCAATCAAAATCTCTTCCAAACCCGACAGGAATTGCTTCAGTTAGTAAATGGAGGTCCATCACAACCTGTTAGTGAAAGAACATTGCGACGGGAGCTGCATTCAATGAACATTTGGAGTCGAACATTTCGTAAGAGGTCATTGCTCACAAAGGTACTTAAAGCTGCGCAGCCTCAGTGGGCTAGAAGTCACCGAACGTGGACAGTTGCTGACTGGAGGAATGTAATGTGGTCTGACAAATCACGTTTTTGCCTTTATTCAAATGCCGCACGTCGTCGAGGGCTGCGAAGAGCAGATGAAAAATTTCATCCTGACTGTGTGCAAGGTCAGGCTCAAGCCGAAGGTGGATCTGTCAGGTTTTGGGGGCGTTTTTCTTATTATGGATTGAGCCTCCTCACTTAGGTGGCCACTAACATGAACTAACATGTTAATTTTAACTTTCTGGAGGATTAGATGTCGCTTTTCAGTCAACATCTTCATGAAGAGTGTGTTGTCGATACCCCTATTTCTCAAGATGACAACAGCAAAGATCATCTGGCTGGAAGACTATGTAACTGGTTTTATGATAATTCAGACACTCAATTACATCTCGACTGGCCTGCAAAATCACCTGACTTGAACCCCATTGAAAATTTGTGGGACATGTTGGAACAACGGGCGAAACGCTGAAATCAGCATCCTCGCAATTTTGTGCGTTTGCGTGATCAAATCCTCAGCAAGTGTCTTATACTGGATTCGAAGTACCTGAAAAAACCTTGTGGACTCACTTTCTAGCAGAATCCAGGCGGTTATGAAATCCAGAGGCGGTGTCACACGGTATTAAATTATGCTTCTCATGATTTCTCTAAGGGTGACTAATTTTTTGTCCGGTGTGCTTATATGTGGCTATAGAACTGGATGCAGGTTGATGGCCTACGTGGGGAAACGCTTGATAGATCTTTCAATAGTGTTGTTGTTGAATCTGATGCTATAGGTGGATCTGTGATTAAGAAATTTGTTGAGGCTCTTTTTTATTTTGATGATTGTGATGTAAGGCGTCGGATGTAAAGTGAGCAGCTATTAGTCTGAATTTTATATCTTTCATGTAGTTTTCAAAGTTGAATATCTGGTAGTTTTCAAAGTTGAATATATCACCATATTGCATTTTATGGTCTGGTCAAAGAAATCTGCATTTAATTTGTGAATATATTGTGATAAGGTCGGGATCTTGAGGTCTTTGTGAATACTTGTATTTATGATGAAAATCATCAGTGTATAAAATATATAGAATCCGTCCAAGTATGCTGCCCTGAGGTACTCCAGCTGTGATATTTCTTTTTGATGATTTGCAATTTTGAATGGATACTTGGAAGGTTCTGTCTGAAAGATAGCAGGAAAGTAATTTGATGAGACCGGGTGGAAAATTAATTTAAATATTGTACCAGTATGCCAGACTTTATCGAGAAAATAACACAGCATGAATATCAAGTCATTTATAAATAGTTTTAAATTATTTATATTTCCTGGTAGTCAAAACAAATTCATATCAATTCATTTTCAACATACTGCAGACACTCAAACTTTATAACGAATTCTCCGTAGTTTTAGAAAATATTTTTCCTAATGGTAGCAAGGGTGCAATTCGTTTATATTTTTAAAAATTAGAATTAAAAGAATTTTGTCCACCTCTAACCACAATCAATTTGAGCAGCTTCATTTAAGGTCACGCAGACAAATGCTTAAGTTTTTAAGATCTTTCTTAAAAAATCTGCTTGTATCAAAAATATCCGCTTTAGTTCATTACCACTTAAAAAAAAAATCGCAACAGCCTCAAATAGTTGGAGTCTCTGCATATTATAACGTATATACGTAATAAAAATAGGAAAGCACTTCAATACTATGTATAGTTTGTCTAAAGTAAGTCCCCTAGCCATTTGTTTGGACCCGTGGTGGTGACTATGATATCGAGGCATGACTATTTTCAGTAGGGGTGTTGGGTCACTGTTTAGGACAGGTTTTGGCTCGAGTCGGCGAGAGAAAGGGAATATTTTTCTTCTGTCTATTGTGTTAGCTCTAGAGTGAAGAGAAGCTATCCTCCCTAAAATGCGCTATTCTTGTTCCAAAAGCAGCAGACGATCTCAGACTTCGGGGCGGGGGAAGTTCTTACAGTAGATAAACTATAAATAATCTTTCTTATTGTAGCAAATGCTTTGGAAGATCATGTTTGAAGCTTTTACAAATGGGGACACTTTTACCCATGCAGAATTTTCATCCACCAAGATGAGCATCGGAAGTTAAAAGCTTCTTTCCATTTTCAATATTACTATAATTGAAAAAGCATTCTAATGTAAATGTTGCAATCCTATAGGATGATTTCAAAATTGATGGTATTAAAACTGGAGAAAAGTTATTACTTCCTTTCCTCATTTTGGTAGATCTTAACTTTTCATGGGTAAGTATGACACCATTTCTAAAAAGATTCAAGCGTGATCCTTCAATTTAGCCAAGAGGTTTGTCATCTGTCAAAACATTTGTTGTTAAAAGAAATATTATTTACATAGAGATGGTATAAAAGTGTTTCCATATTTTTGTCCAATCCCCTGAAAATCTATTACAAAAAGAGTAAAATTTTTGCATCTATACTGTATGAATAATATGCTTATATACAACATTAGAAATGAATTTTTTGGCTACTATTGGAAGGAATGAAGTAAAAGAAAATTTACCTTTGTCTTAATGAAGCATGCCTAGCCCGCTTGTTGCTAACATACAATACCGGTTGAGGAATCAGTTCTGGACCGATTAGTTTTATATAAGCTCCTCTATTACTTCCAGTATCATAATAGTTTGAAGCAGAAAATACAGTTAGAACCTGAAAAATAAGTTTTTGGTTTGAATAACAATTGATGGAATTATTGAAACAATTGCCATCAAAACAATGAATAAATGAAAAGAAAGCTTGAGTTAATGTAGGGTCAAGTGTAGTTGAGAGTTCTTCTTTTAGGTTTTTGGGCATTACTATTTTATTTATTTATTCATTTGTTTTAAGAAAAATTTTCAATAAAACTTATCCACATTTTTCATAATACGAAGGTCAATCGAAAGTTAATATGATACAAAAATTAAAGCTTTCATTGCTATTATTTTATTACAGATTCTGGGAGGAAAAAAAAATTAGAAAATGCTATAATTATTTACATGCCGGAATCACATTTTGAAAAATGAGAAGAGCTTTTTTGATAAAAAAATGGTAAGCACATTTTTGATTAAATTAAGAGGCTGTTATATTTATTTATTTTAAATTCGCTTTAAAGACCAACAGAACCAAAAATAGGTTTAATGAAATCATTAGAAATATATTAAAAAAAACAGGGACCATGAAATAATTTAGATATCAATCATTATCTATAGTTTGAAGTTTAAATATGGCACCAGGTTTGAAGATATTGATCATAAATAACTCATTTCTTGCCAAAAAACCTTTCACATGTTTAGAAAAAGAGCCATTTTGTAATGACGTGAAAGTGCCTTTAATGAAAAGTCGTAACTTAAACTAAATGGATAAGTGTAATCTATCACTTCAATTTTGAATAAAAATTCGCCTAATTTTGTATTAAAAAAAGAGATTTATATTGTTATGAGTTGACTAAGCAGGTTTATTTATTTATTCTTACCTTCTTTGATTTTGCATGTGTGGCGAATGAAATTATCGCCAAGTCAGCTCTCAAAATAATAAAACCTTAGAGCAGAGCGACCAGATAATCAGAATGTCTTTTCTAGATTGGCCATGTGCATGGAATGGCAAATAATAAAGAATTGTTTTCTTCGAAGATTGTGTCATTTATGAAAGAGCAAGATGCTCAGAGATTATTTCATTTAGATAATGATTTAATTTTTTATAATGGTGACCACTCGAACTTAGAATGCGTAAAATTGAAATCAAAAGTGAAATTACGCGTCACTCCGAAACAATGGGAAAATCTACTTTCAAAAAGACTATTCATTGCTCATACTCAAAAAAACCTACTTATAGCTGCATCTGAAATTCACATGAGTGCTTCTTGATCATTATTTGTTTGATCAAATTAATTTTAATGCAAAAATGTATTTTAGAGAACTGAATTGTTCTGAAAGTAATTATACTGTTCTAAATATTAAGTAATGTGTTCTGAACATAGATGGCAACGTTACTTTTAAAAAGTAACGAGTAAAAGTACAAGTATTTTTAAAAAAAGTAACGATTATAACCAAAGCGTTGCATATTNTTATTAGTGAGTTTAAAAAGAAAATTGAAATACTTAATAACAAAATCCAACATTTTTGATTTAAAATGTATTAAATTCAAAATTGATTAAAAAAAGATTCAAAACTTATATGCTTTCCGATTCGACATTTGAGCTCATGTATGCCATAAATTCTTCTGTGGCTGGTAATTGGCATGATGTTTTCAGCTTTAGAAAATTTAAAATCCCTGGGTTTTTTTTCTGTTACGTTATTATTTATAGCAGGGTTTTCAGCTTGGACAATTCTTTCCAATTTTTTTTTAGCCTCCTCCCTAGCTTTTTCTTCCAACCAATTAAATTTGATGAAAGGTACAATTAAAATGCAAGGTACAAGATGCAATTAAAAAAACGTAAGCATTTTTTTTAGAAAGCTTACCGAGTGTTAGAAAAAAGTAACGATTTCATTCGACATTTCCGTTACAAATACTTGTACTTTTTCCCTAAAAAAGTAACGAAAGTACAAGTAAAAGTACTAAATTTAAAAAGTAACGAAGTACAAGTAAAAGTACGTACTTTTTACTTGTACCGGCGGTACAAGTAACGAAAGTAAAAGTACTGCCATATATGGTTCTGAATGGTTTAGAATGTTTATTCATTCATTTATTTATTTTTTCAAATTTACAAAAGAATATTTTATTTTACTTGGATAATTTTATTTACTTTCGTTTACTTACTTTAATTTTATTTACTTTAATAATTGTTATCAGGCCGAATGCAGTGCGATCTGGTAAACGTCTCCGGAATTTATTGGAATCTGATGATAGGTTTTAAAAAGTTCAATTCGACTAAATATCTTAGAATGAGTCATGGTGGCTCAGGGGATAGAGCGTTCACCTTCCAATGAGGTGAACCGGGTTTGAATCCCAGCGATGGTTGACTTAAAATATGTGCACAGTGTTGACTTAAAATATCCTTACTAGTAGATGGATCATGGGTTAGAGTCCAGTTGCTGTCGGGCCAACCGTGGAAGGTTTTCGTGGTTTTCCTCTCCATGTAACGCAAATACGGGTTAGTTCCACCAAAAAGTCTTCCACGCAGGCGAATTTCCCCAACACTTGATATCTGAAGTTTCCTCGTCTTCTGGATTGGGTTCAAAATTACAAGGCTAAGGAGTTGGACGCAATTAGCCGTAAACCCAAAATTGGGTCGGCTGTTTAGCGACGATTATAAAATAAAATATCTATAAGCAGAAGTTTTGAAGTTTCTTAAAAATATTTATACACAAAAATAGGTATTTTCGAAATTTGGCATTTGGTTGTCCTTCCATTGGACAGCCGATCGCAGTTTGAATCGGGTATGTTTCGAGAATTTTGAAGTTTACTGGGGACCAGAAAAATTCGGACTACAGCCTATCATCATCCGATTTTAAACAGAATTGTGGAACGTTTTCCCAGACATCTAAAGTTCGCACTTAAAACTCACGAAAATGACAGATGGCATGAAACAATTCCAATAGTTATACAGGGAATAAGAACTGCCATCAAAGAAGATTTAAATTTTTCTTCTGCTGAACTCGTATAGAAATCTCCATTACACTTACCATGTGACATGTTTGAAAACACAAAAACATCTAGTCATAAATTCATTTCGCAATTACGAAGTCATAAGCAACAATTGACACCGACTGCCACAAAAGTACATTGCGAAGAAAAATACTATGCGCATTTAATTTAAAAACTTGCTTCCTTGTTCATCTTCTGGCCGATGGCGTTCAATCACCATTACTCTGGTCCACAGAAAATATTCAAAAAAAGAGAAAAAATCATTTATATTGAACTGAATGATTGAAAAACAATGGTTTTTGACTGAAACTCGCCTTTTATTTAAAAGATACTGTTCTAAAAGAAGAAATCAAAAACAGTTATACCAACGGACGCAAACACGCTTGCCAAACAATAAGTTGTTGCACGCACAAAATCTGTCAGACATGACAGATTTCCAAAAAAATTAGAAACATTCATAGCCAATTAATTCATTAAAGATTTGTTTATGAAATTGTGTATGTTTATATTTAGTTTTGAAAAATTTCATTTAATAATTTTTGTTATATTCACGGTATCTCCTACGATTATATTAATTATTTTTTGCATTTCTTGTGTAATTCTTTTAACTTATTCTAATATAATGGTTATATCGTTTCTTCGGGTACCCAAAGTCACTGAGAGGGATATTCTGTGGCGAATGAAATTATCGCCAAGTAGGCATTAAAAATAATGCAACGCTATAATTCTGAACGACTAGATGATCAGAATGCAAGGGAATGAAAATGATAAGGATTTATTTTCTTTGAAGATTACGTCGTTTATGAAGGAACAAAATGCTAAATAATTATTTGATTTAGACAATGATTTAATTTTCTATACATACATATAAGTTCTACCGCAGACCCTCCAGTGGCAGTGAATTATAGCAGAACATTTTTAAACAAATAAAATTAATATAAAATTTTTATTTAACTTCAGGCTATAACTATTCGTCAATCAATCCATTTATATATCTCTTTAAATTATTAATATGAACAAAATTCTTAGCCGACCAGGTGGTCGAGTGGTCTGTGTACCTGAATGTGAAGTCAGTGACTGCTGGTTCGAATCCCACTCATGGCATGGATGTTTCCCTCCTTGTGTATTGTTCTCTGTTGTGTGAATGTATCCCACCCTATGAACGGGTATATGTGGCAGTGTGACGTGGGTAATGTTGTTTGCCTCCGTAACTTAGGTAACGTTAGCCTACTGGGTAACGTTAAATGAGCAACACTTCCAGCATCCCCCCGAGGAGAAGAACGAAAGTTCAGTGCCTGGCGTTAAAAAAAAAATTCTTTTAATTCGAAATTATTAAAATATTTATACATAACCTTCGCTATCATCAGAAAAAATATTTCCTAAGACTACGGAAATTCGGCAGTATTTAGAGAGAAGTGCTCAGATGTGTTTAGTGATTTTTGCGTGCTTTTTATGTTGCTTTAATAGAATAAAATCGAATTACTTGACCATTGTGAGAATATTCATAACCATCAGACTTGCATTGATGTGATCGAATTAACATTTTAAAATGGTGACGCTCTAAGAAAGCTTGCGTTACTTCAGGTCCAAAAAAACATCCACCTCCTCTGTATGTATTATGATAACATCCAGGTTGAGGTCTTGGATCACTCCAAAGTAGATCAACAATCTGGAAAATATCCTAAATAAGTAAATTAGCATTAAGTAACAGTAAATTACTATAATAAAACATTTAAGGATTGATTAGGGAAAGAAATACATTTTTTGGATATTTATGTCATTACACACAATTACCGAATAACACACCAATTAAGGTTCATAGATTAAATTTTTTTTTTAAAAATTCAGATATTATGACACAAATGATTCGATTTGAAACTAAAGTAAATTAATATGTTTCTAAGAAAAGGATGACTGGACTCATTAAAGCGGATTTAAAAACAATCAGGGTATTTGTATTGAAAGAGCTACCAACACTGTCAACCTTCATCTATCAAAAGGTACGCAAGTTAGAATCGAGTTAACATGTCTTATATACTAATGAACTTGAATTTAATAGTTTTAGTGGGCTACAGTAATCCCCCATCAGGATTTTATCTTTGATAGAATTTGATGAATGGATACCACCAGTTGATTCATTTCTGTTTTGAGAGAGTCCGGGAGAGCTGTATTAAGATCACCGATCTTGGTGTGCTTGCTTGAGAGGCTGTTAAGGTGACGGTTGTTGCTCTTGTGTTGCTATTAGCAGCCAAGTGTGTAAAGGCCCCCGTTGTATCCAATCGAGACTGAGTATCAACAGAGCGAGGAGGACAATGTCACAGTCACAAATTGCAAGTTCACTGCTTAACACCCATCAAACTAGGCGTGTTCACATCGAAGTGGGAGTTTCTGTAGAGGTAGGCGTGTTCAAATCGAATTTAGTTGTAGTGGTAGCTTCACTACATATTAAACTGGTTAGATCTTCCGACAAAGAGAAATGCGCAGATAAACCGTGGAAAAGGCTGCCCCGGTTTGTAATGCTAATGATGATGAAATAAATTTTAAACTACTGTTGCCTTAAAACTTTATTAAGTAATTCAAAAAAAAAATGTAGAAAAATTAATCTTGAGATTTTTTGGGTTTAGGTAAACCTTTTTTGCTACAATTCGTAAATGGTAAGTAGATTTGTAGCGGAAATAGGGATAATGGAGACGTTGGTGAATGGAGATAATGGTAAGATGTGTAACCTTAATCATGGAGGTTTTTGAGTCATTTTTTTTATCATTTTGAACGAAGTCAGATTTGGGCAGCATTTATTTCCTGGTATTCATCGATCTAAGGTTGGGAAGTCTACTCATTTAGTAGGAGTTGGTTTCATCACGCGGTATCCGACGATACTGGGAGAAGCAATCCTGAGAAAATTTTTATTTCACAGCAATCTTAATTTCTAACGTTAAATAAATTTGATAGAGTAAAGTATTTTTAATTGTCATTTTAAGTTATCTCTAGTAATATTTAGGATCAATATTTTTATGTGATCGGAAATTCTCTCCAGTTACTAATTTTGTAGTTTTAAGGAAAATAATTTAAAATAGAAAATTCTAAAACAGAAATGTACATTTCTCATTTATTTTTGGGGAATAGCAGTAAATGAAATGACACTACAATTTTGAATAGCGAATCCTTTATTTATTAGCTTTTTTAATTCTATAATTTAACGTTTCCATATAAAGAATTTAAATGTTTTTATTTTTATTTTAGAAAAAAACACTTCGAATTATTTGTTATTAAAAAGAAGTGAAAATACACATTAAAATTATTAAAATGACTTTGTTTATAGCGCCAACCAGCCTGTATAGGGGTCAGGGAACTGACCCTGCATCAGAAAGGTTCTAGGTTTGAATCCCGGGAAAGGCATGGTTGTTCTTTCATTCTCTGTACTATCTATCCTTACTGTGGGCTCAACGTTGGTATGGTGCCCCTGAAAGAGTGGCCAACAAATCCGGCCTTCAGATGCTTGTATGACGAAAGGTCATTCTCTATGTGGGCATTGGAAAAAAGAACTTAGTTTTTAGCTGTACCCATCGTATAATTCCTTCTCTTATCACTAGTACCCTATCCAATCACTATATTAAAAAAAATTCTTTCTGTACTTAAATTAGAATTATAATACATCCAAAATTATTAAATTCTAAGAAAATAGTAAAACACAAACTAAAACAATGTAAAAAATCTGCAGTAAAGATATGTTTAACAGTATTGGATTTGACAACTTAAAAATGCTTTTCAAAAATAAAAATCATTAATGCAAAATGTATTATATAATAATGTATTATTTACAAAAATTATTATTAAGATTTTTTTCTGTGAAATAAATATCGTATATATTAAAAAATATGATATATTTTTTACAATAATGAAGAAGCCTGATTTAAATTATTTTATTAATGAAAAAATTTTATTTATTAAAAATTTCCTTTTTTCCAATACAATGATTAAAAATTAGATATAAATTAGAGACTTATTTGGATGGCTTAATTAGGTCATACCTCATTTACATTTTTAAAAAATTTAAGAAAAAGCACTCAGCACATACTTTGCTTTTAAAAATGAACGTTGCAAGCATTCATAATTTATTTACAAGGTACAAGATTAAATTAAATTTCATCATCACAACTACCACTACTAGTAGCGCGGAGTGTCAGAATCAGAATTGACGAAAAAAGAAATATTTTCCTCAACTCTTCAACAATTCCGTCAGTTTTCTAACAATTTTTTTCTATGTTTTCAACATGAGATAGAAAGATATCGAATAGCAATGCTATATCTTAACGTATATCAGTATGTCCTAGTATAACTCAATATATCTTAAATATATGAGATAAAAAAGCAATTGCTTTTTCTATTTCTCATTTCCAATATTTTGTATGACTTCTGCCGCAGAATTTTGAAGACGTTTTGAACTCATATCGTCACATTTCTTTCTCTATCAGCCCAAATTAATTCCATAGGATTTAAATCACAATACTATAAGGGGAGTCGTAAAATATCATGCCCGTGTTCTTTTAAAAGTTCATCAATGTAATATTTGTTTTCGACGGGTGCATTTGAAGTACTTTTTGTTGAATTTTTTTCTTTTTGTTTACGTTGAATTTGATTTTTTTTAACCAGGCAGAACTTTCAGTTGGTACAGAATTCTATACTTTTGTATGGTAAGCTGCATTATCCATAATGATGACTGAATTCGGAGGAAAATTTGGCAAAAGTTTCTCAATTATCCATTTTTCAAAGTTCATCTGACCATGGTAACCTCCTGAAGCAGATCCTACTTCAAATATCAAGTCGTCATTCGAAATGTCGTTTATACTGATTATCGTGTTCTGCAGATTCATCGCAAGCTTCTTGATGATACTATACGATTTACAGATAAATCTTTAGCGAACTCTGTTATTTTTGTTTCAAAAACAGAGAGCCAGCTAACACAAGATCTTCTCGTTAGTGCACATGCGCGTAAGTTTGGTAGAGTCCATTTGTTCTAAGGTAATGTAATTATTAAGAATCGACGTTATTCACTTCCGTTATACCATCTTTACAGCAGCATTGCCACTATTAAGGTTCCAACAATCATACATAAAAAATACAAATATTAAAATTAAAGGTTATTTTATTTTATGTCTTTAGACAAAATTAGGGTTTTTAATTTTTAACAAATAAAAACTAAATAGAGTTTTTAATTTCTTACTTCTTTCCATTCCACTGGTTCATAAGCTAATTGACCTTCACTGACTGGCGGTCTCAAAACAGTGAAAAACTGAAAATTAATAAAAATGATGTAGTTACAATAATAGTTTGCTGAATATTTTATTTTACCCATAAATAGCCGAAACTTTCGTACACATTCACCTACTTATTTCAAAAAGATGAAAATTGACAGCTAATTCTTTTTCGATTTCTTAAAATTTCTTTCTGCAAAACATTCGTATTTATAATAATAGGTTGCAGAATATTTTATTTAACCCACAAATAGCTGAAACTCTCTTTCCCAATCACCTGTTTATATTAAAAAGATAAAAAATTGATAACTAATTCTTTTTTAATATCTTGAAATTTATTTCGACGAAACATTCGTGTTCTCTAAATATTTACTTAATGGTATCATGCATTTATTTCAAATAAATAAAAAGTGGTGGTAAACTTTGCTGCTATTAGTCTATTTCGAAGAAAAAAGATCATGCATTGATAACTACCACATCATGAAAATATTCATGTAGTTTTATACTAAACTTTATGTAGTATTAAACTAATCGACTAAATAAAAGAATAAAAAGCAATCATATTTAATGTAATCTTAATCTTTCTACCTGTTTTTAATTTGGCTGTCCTCTTAGTCTGATATATGAATAAATTATATTTCAATGGGTTAATAATATTATCTTTTGAATTTAGGCAGTTTTTTGCGTTCTTATAACATTACCAAACGAAAAATTTAAATTTTCAAATAACAACTTAAAAAAAGTTATAACAAACGAAACTATTTTTTCCTCATGGGAATTTTTTTACCGATATTTTTCAAATATCTCAGCTGTAAATTTTTTGCTAATTATCTAAATCTGACTTTCGAATTAATCTACAAGAGCATACATTTATCGCATACTTTGAATGAGTTATTAATTCTATTTTATTTTAATAACAAGATGCAAAATTACGCTACAGATAAAAAATCCAATTACAATGATGCTCAATGAGCCAAAAAATAGTAAATATTATATAATATATTAGGACATAATTTTTGAAAAACATCGAAAGACATATTAAAAATATTAAGGGTTTTAGAAGTCCATCTATATAAATCTGAATAAAGGAAAAAATATTTATGTAATTATATTTACTAAATGAGCTTACAAATATTTTTTTCATTTGCCACATGATGACATTTTAAAGAAAACTAAATCATACTGAAAATACAGGATGCCATCTTCAACGCTTTTTGAGAAATACTATTTAGAACAGTTGACAATCAAAAGCAAAAGCTTTAAAAATTTGTGTTGATTTTGCCAACATTTTAAGAGTTTGCTTTCCAATGAGGTGAACCGGGTCCGAATCCCAGCGATGGCTGGGATACGAAATCCACATCTGCTTTGCACCGACCACAGTGTTGACGTGAAATATCCTCAGTGTGAGACAGATTATGGGTTAAAGTCCCCTTGGCGTCAGGCTAACCGTGGGAGGTTCTCATGGTCTTCCTCTCCATGTAACGCAAATACGGGTTAGTTCCGTCAAAAAGTCTTCCATGAAAGCAAATTTCTCCCAATACTTGATCCAGGAATCCCCTTCTCTACTGAATTGGGTACAAAATTACAAGGCTACAGAGTTGAACATTAGTAGTTGTAAACCCAGAAATTGGATCGGCTGTTCAACGACGTTTATAAGAAACATATTAAAAGCCTCACAATGAGTGAACAAAGTAGCTTTATTTATTAACTTCTAAATCATTCATATGCATTGGTTGGAAAATAAATCAAATTTACTAAAGGAATCATACATTATAACATAAACTTAAGTACCATTCGCATAAACTATCTCCGAAAGCGAAAAAAGTTGCTAACACTAAAAATGCTAGAATAATCAGTCATATCGTTTAGAACTTTATAGAAAAATAATAAACAAGACATTCTAACCATTATTCAATGTAGAAACAGCATGAGGATAAGTTGTTTTATGATAAAGAAAACGTTATTTTGAATTTGCGAACTTTATAAATTGGTAGAAAATTAAAAACTAAATCTCTCAGAATTTTTCGATGATTTTTCTATCATTTTTTTAAAATTCTCACCACGAAAGAGGATGACCAAAAGGACGTTTCATATGAACTTTTGAATTATTTACATGTTGTGGCGTAGAAATTAAAGTTTAAAAACAAACAAGGAATCAAACATTAAAACAAGAACTTAGAACATAGAAACATAACACTAGAAGAACAAAAGCGTAGAAAGTTGGCAGCTCTGTTGTTCTTCTTATTATAATAGGGGCTCCAGATAATACAGCAGTATGTCTGGGTAGAACGTATAAATGTTACGTTTATACGTTTCGTCTTAGAAAACCGAGTTTATACTAAGCTTTGGAAGCTAGATAATACTGGTGAACGAAATTTCTGTTACTTTTATACAAGTACTTGACATTACTTAATTCAGGTGAGGTTATTTCAAATCTGAAATTAGCTTTGTTCTACAAGCTTCAAATTTTCAACATAGTGATATTCTTAGTTTTGTTCATTTTGAATGTACAAGCTTTATAAACGTCATTGAACAACTGACTCAATTTTGAGTTTACGACCACTAATGTTATGTTGAACTCCATAGCCAATTTTGAACCAACCCAGAACTCCTGGATCAAGTATTGGTAGAAATGTGCCTTCGTGGAGGACTTTTTGATGGAATTAACCTGCATTCGCGCTACACGGGGAGGAAAATCACGAAAACCTCCCATGGTTAGTCTGACGGCAAGAGGACTTTAACCCATGATGTGTCTATCACTGAGGATATTTTATGTCAGCACTGTAGTCAGTGCAAGCCGGGTGAGGAGTTCGAATCGACAAGCCATCGTTGGGATTCAAACCCGATTAACCTCATTGGGAGGCGAGCGCTCTACACCCAAAACTCCACAAGCATAAGTTTTATTTTATTTTATAACCGTCGTTGAACAGTCGACCCAATTTTATGGGTTTACTACAACTAATGTTCAACTCCGTAGCCTCATAATTTTGAATCCAATCCAGAAGACAAGGGAACTCCTGGCTCAAGTATTGGGAGAAATTTGCCTTCGTGCTTTTTGATGGAGTCAACCCGCATTTGCGTTACATGGAGAGGAAGACCATGAGAAAGGCAAGGGGATTCTAACCCATTATCCGTGATGAGGATATTTCGCGTCAGCACTGTGGTTGGCGCAAGCCGGATGCGGAATTCGTATCGACTGGAATTTGAACCTGGTTCACCGCATTGGAAAGGGAGCGCTCATGAGCCATAGCGGCTCAAGCATAAGTTTATAAAGAACGGTGCATTTAAATACATACATTTGTCTGATCCTTTGAAAATAACTCTGAAGACAAATAGGACTGAAATGTATTCTCGCCTTTTTCCGTACCAGCGAAACAGGGACACTCTTAGTATTATTACATTGAAGAAAAATAGTAAAAATATAAAATGTGTTGTAAATTATTCCCCGGATACTGATACAACAAATTTCAAACCTTATGTCTGTCCATTTCAGCAATGTCTTTTAAATTCGTTGTGTCTGATACTCCTCCGTGAACAACAAATATCTTGTTATCGATGACAGTTGCAAGAGGAAGCCAACCATATAAATCTTCTACAGCTCGCAGTATCTCAGCCGCATGGTCCTGGAATTAAAAAAAAAAGAAACATTGGAGGACATTTATTTCTTAAGTTTTCCACTGTGTGGTCACAGTCCAGAAAAATTTAAAAAAAATGGCGATAAATATTTTATAAGGAAATTCTAAAGGCTTTCATTTCACGTCCATTTTAGGAATTCAGTTGATTGTTTGTAACACAGAGATTTACAAGTATTTTTAGTCGATAGTAACTAATTCCATCTTTCATTTTCACAAGTTTCCAGTTTTTCATTAAACTACCCTGCGTGATCATTAATCTGCATGGGCAGCTGTAAGGCCCGTTGTGTAAAAAATTAATTAGGGGATTTAAACTCATGAGTATATTGGATTGTTCACATTTGGTGTCTAAATATTTTGTACCCAAGTCAAAATATTTGATGGTTTTCCATTGATGGACTAACACAATCTTGATGGTAACCATCAATAATTCCATCATGGACCATTATATTTTTGATGGTATCCAACATAAGTAGCCATCACCCCAATGTAGAAATTCGGAGTGATTTATGATGGTCCAACGTACAAATAGCAACTTGTTTTGATGGTTTGTTCAAGTTAAAGCATCAAAAATTTCTATCATAGTATCTTAGAAATCAAATGTTGGAGCGATCATAAATCACCATAACGTAGGAATTCAGTCTAATTTCTGATGGGCACACATAAAAAAGCAAATTGCTTTAATGGTATATTCATGATGAACCAACAATAATTATTATTAAACCATCATCGACATGCATTGTTGTACCATTATGCACCTTCACGAATTTCCATCATAGTATCCTAGAAATGATCATGGACAGCCATCATCCAAACGTAGGAATTTCGGACTGATTTATGATGGTTCTACAAAAAAAGCCAAATTGTTTTAATGGTATATTCCTGAGAAACAGCAAGAATTCGTATTATACCATCATGGAAATGTGTAGTTGAACCAACTTGATGGTTAACCATCATAGTATTAAAGTAGCATTTTCCATCATGAAATGATGGAATATCAAAACCCATGGGCGCGTAGTGCAAAATGTTGGATGATGGTAAGCATCAAATGATGTTGGACCATCATGAATCGCACTGAAACCAACATAAACCATCATAATTTTTCTGATGGAACCATCAAGAATTTTGACTTGGGCACCAACATGGTTTCAAACTATATTACTTCGAACTTTTTATTTTTTTCTTGGAAAATTTTTCCGAAATGATCTTGTGTTTTGATCTAATGCAAATACATAAAAATATGACTTGGTTCTCAAAACTCATAAATATTTGTAAGTTTTGGTGATTAAAACTAATTTATTTTAAAGAATTAGGGTGTCAACCACACCCGAAAGTTTTCTTTCAAGTAAGGAACTTTTGACAATAATAAAATCGAAATTTTTAAAATTAGCTTTATTTGGCATTATATAACTTGAAAATTTTCATATTTTTCAAAATCTAAAGCGGTTGAACAAAAACTGCCAAGTGATTTTCGGAAGATTTTATATTTAATGTAGTTGCACTGGTGCCTCCTTCTTATTTTAATAAATTTAACTTTTTTTTTTAACTATCAATACACTTAAAAGAATTATAGTGTTTTAAGTGAATTCGTCTTCAATAATTAGGAAAAAACTTTTTTGCGTTATTTACATTACATTACCACGAGTTACAATTGCATTACATTACTATGAGTTACAATTACATAACATTACTATGATTTACATTACTATTTCAATTTTCATTTATTACTTACTTTGTACTTCACCATAACTTCTTTCAAAAATCCATATCTATAAAGAAAACAAAAAGTGTTAATGAAATTTACAAATGTAAGAAATCTTTTTTATTCTTCACTTTTATAGACTGAAAAACTGAAAACCCTCCTCTGAACAGCTTGTTCTTTAAAGTTTTGCTTTTTTTCTTTCTTTTTTTACCTATCTGCCAGAAATCTTGAATATTATAAACTGATGGCCAAATAAAATGAAATTAACTAGTGTTCTCAAAATAACAACGATTTAAACAGTCAATTAAAAAAATAGAGGAGATCTAAACGTACGTGTCTTGCTTAGAAATCGACGTTATATTTCAGAAAAGTTTCATAATTTGTTTAAAAGTTTGTCCCCAAATAGTGTACCTTAGTGGAATTCTGTAATCCATTGATGGACTCACCGATCATTCGAAATGGAGCTCTAACCGGCCACCAGGATGAGATCCTGAGACCTATTGTAGTCCCTTACGCTGCACAGTGAGCCAGCGTCCGAGGTTTCGTGGCCAAAATTAATCTTTCTATAAAATTTGTTTCAAAATTTGGGGGTTTTTATGTGCAGGTAAATTAAATTCATAGTTGAAATTTTGAAATACACTAAAAATACAAGGAAAAACAAAAACAAAATGGCGGCTGAAATAGGGCAAGCAGAAATTAAAAAAAAAAAATAAACTACGCTTAAATAATTAAATATAGCAATGAAAATACAATAATTTTCGTAATTTTATATTAAAAATGAAAAGCAAATTATATTTCCGAAGTAATATCACAAAATAACGCTAATTAATTACAAAATAACGCGAAAACATGAAAAAACGCATAATTTTTGTTTTTCGGTATATTTAGTCCACCTTTGCAATATGGGCAAAATGGGGCAGGTTTTTTCGAAAGAAGAAGCATCAAAGAAGACAAAAAAAAAAAGTTTAGCTAATTACCTCGTGGAACTTTTTGGAGATAAGTTTCGAAAGTGAGTCAAATATTGTAAAATGTCAAATGATAAAAGATGTAAACTATAAGTTTGTCAAGAGTATTAACAAATCCAACCAATTGAAAAATTGTACTATAATTTCAGTTTAAATACTGTGATAAAAATGTAACAGTAAGGTGAAATTCCTATATATATTTCTGATATATGAATTTAAAAGTTACATTGAAAGAATTTTTTTTTAAACATATTTTTCACTACATTTTACTCTCGTCGGTCCAAAAAGTAAATTATAATGTTTGAAATGATTATGAATACTTAATTTGGGCGATATTGAAACTGTCTACGCATATTTTAGTTAAAAATTTAATTTTGACTTTTGGCCAAAAATCATGGTCTTCTGGCTCACTGTGCGCTGCAGCGATTGGAGATGACTTCATGTTATAAACCACAATTGCCGGCCACATCGTGCTAACTTGGTGAATGAATTCCTTTAGGAGGAAGGAATTATACGAATGGATTAGCCAGAGTGTTTGCCGGGCATGAACCCAATCGAGCAAGTTTGAGACATTCTAGGTAGACGAATTGGTGGACGCCCACCATCTCCACAAGCTCTCCAAGAATTGGAAAGAGCTTTTCTGGAGCAGTGAGACAGAATACTCCAGCCCCTCATTAATAACCTCATTGACTCCATGTCTCAAAGGTGTTAAATGTTTTTGGCCGTTTGGGGAAACCACACACCCCCACTAAAAATGATTTTCTTTTACGGAAACACCTTTCTTTATTTGTTTTCTCATATGCACAAATTGTGTTTTTTTCCTTTTGTATCTGAATGAGCAATAAAACCCCTTTTTTTTCTCCCAAACAAATGTCATTTTTATCTCATATAGCTTACTACGTCTGTCGATAATGTATAAATCATTTAAACAATTCTCCAGGTGTAATATCAACCCACAACCTCAATATTCTTTAATTGTTTTGAGCAGATATTAAAATACTTTAGAACAAGCCATGCGTTTTTTGATCAGGTTACTATTTATTTCACGAAAGCGCTTTTACAAAGGTATAATTCTTAAAATATAAGAAGAGAAATGAAAATTGAATTTACTTTCATAGTCGCTATTTTTAGGAAAAGTAATTTCCATATTCTTTACTTCTGTTAATAAAATAAAACCCGAAATAAACATTTCGAAGTGAGCTTTTTGTTATGGTTTTTATAATAAGATTTATTGGATCATTTCAAAATTCATTGACCAAAAGCTGACAAAGTTAGGCAAAAATGCGTTGTATAACCAACCTTAAAGAAAGCGGTTTGCATGACGAAATGAAATGCACGTTATTCCTTAGGGATTCTAAAGAACTACTTAAAAGGTGGAATTTCTAAGACAGAAAAGTTTACTTGAAATATGGGTGGGAATACACGGAACACAAAATGATTAATAAGAAATAAAGTCAGGGACCGTGCAAAAAATAATAATACTTTTCAAATCATCACATATATATGTATAACGAAAACCTGTACCTTGTTTCGTTCATAGGTATTTTTGTTGTTGGCCGCTGATGAGTTAGTACAATTTTTATTTAATTTTTACTACATAAATGTAATACAAAAATAATAAATACTTTTGTATTAATAAAAGAATTAAAACTCTTTCGGTTTCATAAAATGTCTTTGTTAAAGAGTAAGCGTAGAGCTATTCTATTTTGGGAATTCAAGGCTGAAAACATACCATTGAATAATAATTAGATTTATATTTGAAAGGAGGAGTTATTTTTAGAATCTTGTCCCTCTTTCACTTCCATATTAGGAAGCATTAAATGATTTTCCATAGTGCGTAGAGTTACAATGGCATGTACGACTGTAACCTAATTACACCAATCTCTGTACTATTTAATGCGAGAGAGAATGTTTTCGCATGTCTCTTGCTGAATAACGTGTTCCACAAAACATCTGTCGGAACCATCCGGAGTTACGTCCACACCCCCTCCCTTGGGGAGGGCGGATGTGAACTGTTATAACTACCAGCATACCTGTTAATAAACCTTTTGATAACTTATTATGGTTTTGACTGCATTTCTTAATATGAATACACCAATGATAACAGAGATGTAGCCCTGTTATTACA